CCCCCTGGAGCTGGGTGGTGCGGGATGCTGCAAACCTTGGAAGGCAGGTTCTGTGCCAGCTGGGGGTCTGGGGGGACCGGGCAGAGAGAAGCACTGGCCCCCGCCTTCGAAGGGGGAGGTGGGAGACACAGAAACAGACGATGGCGATCATGAGTGGGGCCCTCAGTTCCTTGAGGCTGGAGTGTGAGTGTCCTGGGAGTGTGAGTGTCCTTCCTAGAGGGGGGCCCCCCCAGAGGAGCTGGAGCAGATCCTGAGGGTCTTAGTCCAGGGCAAGGAGCACGGAGTCTGGGGGGACACAGAGGGGCCACCGTCTCCTCCTTGTTCTGTTTGTGTCCATGCCTTTTCATCTGAGCAAGAGGGCACCCGGGAACCTGCTGGTTAGCATCCACTGCTGCCTTCTGTTTTCCCTGGAACCGGGTCATCAGGAGCAATGTCTCCAGGCCCCCAACACCGCCCTGCTGCTGGGCAGGGCAAGGTTTGCTTCTCACCTGGGCTGTTAGGTGCCCCCCATTCCGGGGGGTGCTGGCTTCTGCAGGGCCTGCCGCCGCCCTTGGGGCAAGGTGGGTGGGTGTGAGGGGGTAGTTCCTGGAGGAGGCGATGCCCGCTGTGTCTGGAGGGTGGAGCGGAGGCACAGAGGCCTGGGGTGCGAAACACCTGCAGGGACACCGCAGGAACGCAGGCGAGACGTGGCTGGGGCCAGGTGTGTTTGGAGCGCGTAGGGCGGGAGCGAAGAGGCAGCCAAGAGCCAGGCTGTGGACATTTTTAAAAATATTTTTTTAAGTGTATTTTTATTGTTTAAAGTATTACAGTGTCCCTATTTTTCCCCATTTTTAAATTTGTTTTTAAATTTTTTTTTATCTGTTTACTCTGTGTAAGTTCATTTGAAAAATTGATTGTGATGCTGAAAACAGTTTGCAAGCCAGCGAGTGGAAATGGCCCGCCTGAGTCTCACGGCGCTCAAGGGCTTTGGACCAGCATCCTGAGAGGGGGATCTGATTGGCCCGCGTTTGCCCTTCAAAGAGGCCTGGGAACCTGCACTCTTGCTTCATCCTGAGGGTGGAGCGGAGGCACAGAGGCCTGGGATGCGAAAGTTCAGTGAAACTCAGCAGAGGGTGGGGGCCCTTGCGCTCCTGGCCGGAGGAGGGAGTGTAACGCTTGAACCTGGGATGGAATGACACGGGTGGAGCGACGACTGTGGGAACACGAGCAAGGGACAACTCCGTCATTGTTTCAAAATTGGGTTTTTTTGTTGTGTGGTTTGTTATTTGTTTTTTTTTAAATTCTCACCTGAGGATATTTTTTTTCCATTGATTTTCAGACAGAGTGGAAGGGAGGGAGGAGGGGAGGAGAGCGAGACACACACATTGGTTGGTTGCCTCCCACATGCACCCCAGTGGGGCTGGAGATCAAACCCAGAACCGAGGTACGTGCCCTTGACCGGGAATCAAACCCACCCCCGTGGGTCCACGGGCCGATACCTAACCACTGAGCCAAACCAGTCAGGGCCAACATGGTTTCAGTGAACAAACTTTGTTTTCCAGAGCAGTTTTAGGTTCGCAGCAAAGCTGAGCAGAAAGTACAGATTTCCCGTGTACCCCTTGGCCCCGCCACACACTTACACGCGGCGTCCCCCACCGTCCACATCTCCACAGGGCGGTGCGTGTGTCACAACCCGGGACCTGTCTTGACACATCAAGGTCCATAGTTCACAGTAAGGTTCCTGCTTGGTGCTGTACGTTCTATGGGTTTTGACAAATGTATAACGACCTATGTCCACCACTGCAATATCTACAAAATAGATTTTTTTCATTTTTAAGGCTTTGTCTAAATATACTTTTCCCCCCTAAGATTGTTTATATATCCTTTTTTGACTTAATACTTACATCATCAGCATTTTTCCATGTTGTCGCAAATTCTCCATCCCGGGATTTATTATTATTATTATTGATTTCAGAGAGGAAAGGAGAGGGAAGGAGAAATAGAAAAATCAGACGATGAGAGAGAATCATTGGTGGGCTGCCTCCCGCAAGCCCTCTACAGACGGTCCTTGGGTTACGTCGGACTCAACATATGTCGTTTCGTGGTTACGTCACCATGTCCTATTTATTTATATTAAAAAAATGTTCTGTCATTTCGACGTATGTACATACGTGCTTGATGCTTTTTATTGTTCATTTACCACAAGTAAAGGTCAGGAATTGTTATCTTTCTTTTAAATTTTGTTTACGGTTTCCCTTCATTACTGCTGTGTCTGTGCTCCATGTGAGTGACGTAGGTGCTCATGTAGGTGGGTTTCGACTTATGGCGAAAATCGCGTTACGTCGTAGGAACAGATCTCCCACGTAACCTGAGGACCTACTATACTGGAGATCGAGCCTGAAAACTGGGCAAGTGCCCTGATAGGAAATTGAACCTTGACCTCCTGGTTCATGTGGTGACAACCGCTGAGCCACAGGGGCTGGGCTGGCCCCAGATTTCTCAGCGCTGTGTGCTGCTGCCCCTCCTGCCTTCCTATGTGGCCGCTTAGGTTGCTATCAATTTTTCTCAAGTACAGTGGGTCCTTGACTTACGAGTTTAATTCGTTCTGAGACCGAGCTCGTTAACTCAAATTACTCTGTCAACTCAATGCAAAAAATCGGCCGAGAGACAGCTGGTATCTCAAAAAACTCGTTAGTCGGTACACTCGTAAGTCAAGGCCCCACTGTAATTGTGCATTGTTTAAGTTGGGAGCTGTGAGTCATGGTTGGGTTGGGATTGGAGCTGGCAGAGCTGCCTGATTGGGAAGTTGGGGGGCCCTCTCCAGGCCTGGGTGCTGGCATCTTGCTAGTCCTGACTGTGGGTGCTGGCCCTGCCTGCTTCCCGCTGCGGGGAGAGGGGGGGTGGTAGCCGCTTGGTGGAGCTGGGAAGCCTGCCATTTGGGTTCAGAATGCTCTCATTTCACAAGTTCCTCTGGGAAAATGCCTGTGTTGTGCCTCACGGGGGAGCTCGGGAAGCTCTGCTGAGCGGGGAGGGGCTGAGGGGGCTGCCGGACACGGACATGGGAGCAGAGGCTCGGCCGGCCCACTCGGCGGGAGCGTGCTGGTGTGATCACACCTAGACAAGTCGAACTAGAAACATGCTGTTTCTGATCCGCAGGAGAAAGGCATTGGGATTTGATGAGCACCTACTATGTGCTGGCCATCATGCCAAGGGCCACACACCTCATGTAACTCTTCCAGCAGCCCCACCTGCAGGCCCCGGTCATTATTCCTGTTCTACAAAGATGCTATTCCAGGACCAGTGCTCACACCTGCCCCCTGAGCGTGGGCTGAAGAGATGTTCCTTGAGGGTCTCGCTGCCTCCAGGCTGATATGAACAACGCGAGCAGCTTACAGGAATGAACACATTTGCCCTTTTCGTCCCTGTCAGCCAGCGGCCCCACAGGAGGCGCAGACATGCTCTCAGAGCCAACGGCATGTCCACGTGGATGTGCCGTCCACCCATCCCCCCTCCCCCGCCCTCCACACACACACAACTCTGCGATCTCCCCAGGGAGGCGGGGTGTCCAGCAGGAGAGAGGCTCAGGATTGCCCTCGTTCTAATAAACAGGCTGTTTGGGACACTCGGGTCTGCCTGCCTCTGCCTGGAGCCAACGAGCAAATGGAACTTTCTTCATGTTCTAGAGCAGGAAACCCTCAGGCCATGGGTGGGGAGGGAGGGCCAGAGAGCCATGCAAGTCCGTCCCTCCCTATCGCCGGCATCTCGCTTCCTCTCTCAGCACTGAGAGAGCCAGCAGTGGGCGCCAAGCATTCTCGGCTGCCTAGAGTCTCTAGAAGCTTCCTTCCCACCTGTCAGTTAGCCAAGTCCCGGGAGCCACAGAGTGGGGAGAGAGCACCCCACACTGAAGAGCCGTCAGAACTGGAGCCGGGCAGGTACCCGAGGACCTGGGAGGGTGTCCGGTCCGAGACCACCCCCAGGTCCGATGCCTCACCAGGGAGACTCCCGGCACCGGCAAGCTCACAGCTGTGACTTAATTCAGTGAAAGGACCAGAAGCAGAATCAGCAAAGGAAAAGGCGTGGGGGGTGGGGGAGTTCAGCTGAAACAGGCTCCAGCTTCTCAGGGCGCTCTCAGCAGAGGCTCCCGGTGCACACTCGGCCCCCGGTGCACACTTGCGCACACTCAGGCCCGGGCACACACTTGGCCTCTGGTGCACACTCGGGCCCCACCCTGAGCTGGGACAACACCCGTGAGGTGTCCACGGGGAAGCTCATCGGAGATTCGGCATCAGGGTTTTTGTCAGCCGCTTGGCAAGTCCCCAGTTCCCGTCTTGGAGCTGATCAGCCTGCGCCAGGCTGTGAGAGACCAGGCCCGGGAGCAGCTCTGCTTGGTCCCAGGAATGGTGGGGGCCCTCCCGAACCCACAGTCCCCGGAGCCAGCCCAGGGCCACGGCGCCAGCAGGCCTTTTGGGAGAGCAGCCTCGGGCCGTGTTGCGGTGGGGGAGGCCTGAGCTCTGCTACGCGGGGACCTTCGGTGGCACTGCGGGGCTCGTGGGGTGTCGTCCGTGTGGCCCTCACTTCCCAGAGCCTGGCTTGGCGGTGGGCACCCTCATAAGGACGTCCGTACGCTTCTCCTGGCTGCACAGGCGTGTGGCCTGTCTTCACAGATCCCTCGGGCCTGGGCCGTGTTACACAGCACAAAGTGGCACCTCATTGCGCTGCTGACTAATGATGTTGAGCATCGTGTCATGAGCTTACTGGGCACTTGAGTTTTCTCTGTCGTCTGTTCGAGTCTTTTGCTCATTTTTAAAGTGGGCCGTCTGCCTTCCCATTGACGTGTTAGAGTTCTTCATCGCCTGTGGATGTCGGTCCTTTGCAGCAGATGCGTTGCAGATGTGTGGCCTCAGCGTGCGCCTGTCTTTCCTTGTTGTCAAGGTGGCCTTTGAAGAACAGAACTTGTCGATTTCGATGAAATGCAAATGAGTGCTTTGTTCTCCTTTGCTGGCTGGAGTTTTCTGTGTCTGGTGTCTTGGCCCACCCTGAGGACAGAGCTTTTTCTCTAACGTGAGGGATGTGCGTTTCAAACACTTGCCCAGGTGGTTCTGCTGGCACCGAAGTTGGAGAGGCCCAGGTATCATGGTCGCTCTAGGTTTGGAGGCCGATCTGAGTCTGATTCCCAGGTTTCCCACTTACTAAGCAAGTCACATTGTCTCTCAGAGCCTCAGTTTCTCTAACTGCAAAATGAGGTAAAAAAATAGGGCCCATCTGCCCGGCCGGTGTGGCTCAGCGATTGAGTGTCGACGCATGAACCAGGAGGTCACTGGTTTCATTCCTGGTCAGGGCACATGCCCAGGTTGCCCGATCCCCAGGAAGGGGTGTGCAGGAGGCAGCTGATCAATGATTCTCTCTCCTCATTGATGTTTCTATCTCTCTTTCCCTTTCCCTTTCTCCGCCCTAGCCGGCTTGGCTCAGTGGATAGAGTGTCAGCCTGCAGACCAGTGGGTCCTGGATTCGATTCCAGACAAGGGCACGTACCTGGGTTGCAGGCTTCCCCCAGCCCAGGGCCCTAACTGGGGCGCGTGCAGGAGAAACAATTGATGTGTTTCTCTCACATCAATGTTTCTCTCTGTCTTTCCCTCTCTCTAAAAATCAATGGGAAAGCATCCTTGGATGAGAATTAACAAAACAAACAAACAAAAAGTAGGGCCCATCCACAGACTTTGTCAGAAGGTTCCGTGATTAAGGCTCAGGCAGAACCTAGCGCCGTCCTGGCCTGAGACCCGTTCTGCAGCAGCTGCTGGTCTCATCGCAGCTGCTCCGGGGTGCAGGAGGGAGCAGGGGGAGTAACGGTGTGTTGTTTGCTTTCAGTACATCAAGGCCTTTTACAATGAGACGTGGGAGAGGAGGCACGGATACCCGATCGACCCCGACACCCTGACGCTGCTCTGGTCGGTCACCGTGTCCATATTCGCCATCGGTGGACTCGCGGGGACGTTCATGGTGAAGCCGATGGGAAAGTTTTGTGGGAGGTCAGTGGGGGCTGTCTGTGTTGGGGGATCCCCTCCATCATGCTCATAATATATCTGTGTCCCGTCAGGACCCCGCAGACAACGAAATGCCACGTAGTTCAGCTGGAGAGGCTTGAATGTCGGGAGGGCGAGGGGTGGAAATAGGGTCCCAGAGGCCACGGGGCAGGGAAGCCACGGACAACGGGCTGCCCAGGTTGGGGAGGTCAAAACTCTACTGTCCGAACAGGGAGGGAGCCGGGAAGAAACACCCTGGCCTCTCTCTCCTCCAACCCGCCTCTCCCCCGAATCTGCTGCCCGCGCCGCCCATTGGTCTAACCCAGTGGTCAGCAAACTGCGGCTCGCGAGCCACATGCGGCTCTTTGGCCCCTTGAGTGCAGCTCTTCCACAAAATACCGAATTCTGCGCATGGGCCACGAAGTTTCAATCGCACTATACGTGCGCGCCCGCACATGGTATTTTGTGGAACAGCCACACTCAAGGGGCCAAAGAGCCGCATGTGGCTCGCGAGCCGCAGTTTGCCAACCACTGGTCTAACCCAAGTGGAAGCCAGAAGAATCAGGAGCGCTCTGAGTTAGGTCCAGAGGACCAGGCCCCGAGGCACGGAGCCGGCGGAGCCACGGCACAGCACGGTGTCTGCGGGATCGCTCCCTGTGCGCACAGAGCTCTGCTTGTTAAAACATCCGGCGCTCAGACAGTCTTCCGTAAGAAACCCCGAACCCGAGCAGATGGCACAGGAAAAGGGTCGCTGGGGTTGGGCCCGGGATGCCGTGGGCCAGCAAGTCCTGCCTCCCCAACTGGGCAGGTGTGTGGTGTGGGGCTTGCACCTCCCTCTCGGCCAGCGCTCTCCCCGCGTGTACGGCGAAGGCGATGACGGTGGCCTCAGCAGTGTGGCAGCCGCAGAAGCGAAAGGAAAGCCAAAGAGGAAACGCATTTGGGAGGCACTAAACTTCTAAGTGATGGATCCTCGGAGGCGGAGAGATTCGGTCAAAGGTGTGGGTTGTCGTGCCCCGGGCAGCTGCCGACTCCTGTTTGCATCACGACAGAGTGAAAGCCGAATTGGGGTGAAGGCTCGGCTGGAACCGTCACTCCGGGGGGAGGAGAAGCAGCAGGCACTGAAGACAGTTACCGTCTATCCCCCTCCGGCTACTGCCGAGCTCGACCGACAACGCTTCCTACACGTGACGCATGGAGGCCCACGAGGCCCAGCAGGCGGCCCAGGTTCCGAAGAATGCACATGACCCGAAATTCAGATCCGGGTCTGTGTGGCCACCAGCCCGCTCTTGCTGTCACATGGTGTCAATGCCATGCTGCTTGAGGCCTCATTATTCATCCCCCGTGAGGGCCCTCGGGGAGGCTGAGGAGGCTGAGCTCCGTGTGCAGGGCTGGGGTCAGGGCCAGCGGGAGGGGCTGGAGAGAAGTTCAGATGGAGCTGGGCATCCTGGGAGTCTGGGGCGTGGTCACCGGCAGGTCCACCGTGGGGCCCATCCCGGCCAGGGCACGTTAAACTCGTCTGTGATTTGGGAAAGGGGTGAGGACAGAGAGGGTGTGAGCCGCCCCAATATCTGGTCTCAGAGATGCAGGCTCCTTGTCTGCTGGACCTTCGGGCTTGGAGAAGTCTGTCCACAGAGAATAGTTTCTAAGTCCCAGTCCCTCACTCGGGGCCATTTGTCCTCGGCTCGCATGGCTCTAGTGACAGACCCCTTGCTCCCTCATGAGACAGGATGATGCCATGTTGGTGCCCAGGCGCTGGCTGCAGGCCCAGCTCCACGCCTGGACTCTGATACCCACGGCTCGTGGGGCCCGGGACGCGTGCCTCAAAGTCTTCGTGCTTCACGCAGTTCATGGCCTCTCTGGAGGCCCTGGTGTTACCTGCTTTTTGTGTATCTTCTCTGAGGCTTGTGGCCATCTCTACACCAAAGCTCTACCCCCCCCACACACCCCTTTTCACACAGATAATTTCACAGTCTCTACAGTGCTGTACCTTGCTCATTGCATTCACGGCGTGACTTGGAGATCTTTCCATATGAGACCAGAGGGTTGTCTCTGACTCAGTGTCTGCACTAGGCAGATGCATCATCACTTCCTTCCGTAGTTCCTCGTTAACGGACACTGGGTCGTTTCTGTCATTTGCTATCAGAGACGATGTGGCAGTGAGCAGCCTTTCAATCATCACTGAGTTGCATAGGTCAGTAAGTCGGGGATTCTCCAAGAAGATGTAGGAAGGGGAGGGGAATTAGGGCAAGTTTGAGATAAGTCAGAACCGGTGAAAAGAGCTCTGGCTCCAAAGAGCAGTAACAAGGCCCCCTTGCAAGTGCCCAGCTTCTTACAACCGATAACACAGTTGACCACCTGTTAACTCGCTGGGTCTTTAGGGGACAGCATCCTGCGAGAGGCTAAGGTGTTTGCCCAGCTCCTTGACGCACCAGCTCTCGGACCTCAACCAAGTTTCTCATCTGTCCTGGTTAACTTCTCTATGAAACAGGAATAGGACCTTGGCCCACCTGAGAGGGTCGTTTTGAGCAGTTAGAAGAGCTACTTGTGTAAAGAGCTTATAATGACGTCTGTCACGGAGCAGGGTTCGCTACCGTGAGCGAGGATGACCACGTTGCAGGCGAGGAAGGACAACACGGAGCAATCCAGTGCGAAGTCACCGGCTCATAAAGAGAGAGCAGGTGCAGGAGCCTGGTCCCAGGCCCCCCACAGGTCATGCTGCTAAGCCACGGCGTCTAAGCGATGTGTCCGCAAAACAGTGGGAACGGTCCCGGCACAGAGCGATTCGTGGGCGTGATCATCAACCCCAGGGTGACCCCAGAGGGAGCGAGCACCTGGCTCAGGATCACACAGCCAGAGGTGGCTGTGGGGGGCCAGTGGGGACACCGCTCCTGGGATGGACAGCCTCCTGGTCAGGCCTCCTCATCAAACCCTCTCTTTTTGTAAATTTATTTTTTATTGAATGTATTGGGGTGACATTGGTTAATAAAATTATATCGGTGCCAGGTATATGATTCTACGGTACATCACCTATAGAGTGTTCTGTGTGTTTGCCACCCCAAGTCAAGTCTGAACCCCTCCTTTCCCTCCAGGAAGTGCACATTACTGGTCAACAATATCTTCGCGATTACCGCCGCGCTGCTGATGGCCTGCTCGCTCCAGGCAGGAGCCTTTGAAATGCTCATCGTGGGCCGCTTCGTCATGGGCGTGGATGGAGGTGAGGCTCCCGGTGGCCGGGAGGGGCAGTGACAATTCCTGGGGGTGCTGCTAAATCCCGCGAGGGCACCAAAGCTCAGAGACGTGGACCAGTAAATGGTTAAGGGCAGGGCTACGGGTTCTGCTGGTTTCTGCCACTTCCCTGGGTTAATTTCATTACCTTGTCTGTATCAGTTAGGCCTTATCTTACTGCATAAAAGTAAAAAATCAACCCGAAACATAATGGCATAAAGCAAATACCATTTGCTGAGCCTGCAGCTCTGAGGGTAGGCCAGGCGGCTCTGGGCGCGCAGCGGTGTTCTGTTTGCGGAAGACTGTGCTGCCCACTCTCCCAGGGGTGCGAGCCCATGTTGGCTGCGTTAGAAGGTCTCCAGTGGACAACGATGGATGTTTCTAAGTAACCCAATACAAAGCGGCTAAGGGGTTGAACAGGCACCTACACAAAGTGGCCAATAGGTACATAGATTGCATCAGTAATTAAGGAAATGCACATTAAAGCCACAATGGCTACAATTGAAAAATTTGTTAATGCCAAATACTGGTGACTATGTGGAGCAAAGGTAAATTGGTATGAACGTGGAGGAAATTGGCTTAACTACTAGCACTGAACATGCACACATTATGACTACAATGTATTTAACAACTTACATACATACGTGTGCAATGAGAGTCTTGTGCAAGAGTGTTCATGGGTTGCTATTAGTATTGACCCCAAACTGGAAAGCACTGAAGTGTCCACCAATAGGAGGGTAGATAAGTTGTGGTATATTTATACATTGGAATACTACAAGCAGTGAAAGTGAACGAGTTATAGCTACATGCTACAACATTAATGTATTTCAGTAAAAGAGGTGAGACACATCCTCTCAGTGCACACCACCCTTACCACCATCACCATCACCACCACCACCACCACCACCACCATCACCACCACCACCACCACCACCACCACCACCACCACCACCAACAACAACACCATCACCACCATCACCACCACCACCATTACCATCACCACCACCACCATCACCACC